ACTTTCGTATGTCCGAGGTAAGTCTTACCGGCGTTGTTTAATAACGGATACCTGATTTCTTCATAATTTCTTAATATTAAACTTTATAAAAGAAGTTTTTGTAACGCATATATACATACATAACCTATTATTTATAAAATGTAATAACAACTTATCTGGAAGTTTCGTTCTTTACAATTAGTTGCCATGTTAAGCAGGGAACGAGCAGAAGATGAATCATAGTAAAATTTAGGTCCTATGAACAGAATTAAATATTTTTGAGTATCTACAGTTTATTTATAAAACGGAAGTGACTAAGAACTAATAGTTCACCTAAGATTAAGTGACACCGCACTCCATGGACACCTGCAGCCAACTACATACAATGCGACCTATAGGTTGTCGTCACAATATACATATGTAATATAGTTCAAATAATTATTTTCTTTATCATCCAGAAACAGTTCACTGCTGGACATGTTGTGCTTTCTTATTACTACTCTTAACTTTTATCTTATAGTCGTAAATTAATATTCTTAATATAATAATCCTAAATATTGATCGTTAACAAAATTAATAAGAAATCGGTGCAACGTTAGTTTAAAATTATTTAAAATTAAATTTTGTTTGTGTATGTGTTACGTGATGGTGAACAATTCATCACCATAGTCAACCAAAAACTCCACTACTTCATCCTCGGTGAGCAACTATGAGAATTTAATTCATTTGCATTTGCAATAGTTCTTAAATAACTTTGCTTAAACTTCAATGAGAAGTTTACTAATCTAGTCTATTTTGTGAGAAATTTCACAGTTTTTCAAACCAACTGAAGAACTTCAGTCACAGTTAATTAGTCCTCAAAATTTTAAGTTTCGAACATAAGCTTATAAAAAATGAATGGCACGTGTGTGAGAATTCCTACAAAGAACATTCATTTTACATTAGCAATATTAATGCAGTGTACTTAGGAAACCGCATTTTTAATTTCTTTTATTTGTATTTTAGTGCTCCTTAGCTTTATTATTACTTACAACGCATGTCTTAAAACTATCATATATCATATATTGTCATGAAAGTCTTTTTCATCATCATCATCATCATCATCATCATCATCATTACAATCATTCACAAGTCCACTACTGAACATGGGCCTCCCCAAAGGAATGCCACAAAGCATGGTCAGAGGCACCTGCATCCATCGACTTCGTGCACCTCTTACCAAATCGTCACTACATCTAGTAGGGTCACTCAATCGTTGCCTTAATCATTGTATTTAAAAATTGAAGAGGAAACTTTTCGATGATTTTGTTAATAGTCATGCTCAGCGGAGCCATTACACATAGACGGTTGAAATTTATTGTTGATTACGGTATAAAAGATATTATTTGAACGAGCAAAAATATTAGAGATGGAGCCAAGTCAAGCTAAGAATGTCATTTTACAATCGTTAAAGCTAATAGAAAGCTATAAAAATGAATGAGTATGACATATTTAACATTAAGTCTTGTAACAGTCGTGTGACTCATTGTTGATTTCATTAATTTTTATAGTTTCCGTAAGTAGTGTTCAAAGATGCATGGTATAAAATATAATCCAAGCACTTTCTTTCGCGGTAAATATTAAAGATTTTTTAGTATTAGAAGAAATGTTATAGTTCAATATTAAAAAATTATCATCGACCCAGTTGGATACTACTTACTTCCTGTGAAAAATTTATACTATCCTTATTCTCTTTAGCAAGGCTTTCTTTCGGACAGAATGTGTTTCCATCTTGTCTTCCACACTTGATTTGTATCTCTCTACACCTTATCTGTTACTGTGCTATCATCTGCATGCCCACAGCTGCCGGGTAGAGGTCTTTAATATGTAACATAAAGAGAGTTGCAGAGAAAATGGAAGAACTCTGGTGTTAATCATCATTGGCTTGGAAATGCAACCTTTGGTAATGCCTTGAAGAAACCTTCCTATTAAAAAAGTGATCAGATGAAGAGATAAGACGAACTCTACAAACTTTATGTTTAGTGGCATTTGAACCGAACCTGTGAATGAAATAAAAATATAATTTTCCAAATTGAAACCTTCACGGTGAGCACGTGAAAATATAGGAGGTCATTGATCTTTTTTTATAGAGTAAGGATGACAAACGAACACACAGTCCTATTGATTGTAAGTGGATGCTGTGGCACATAGACATCTACATTTATCCTTTGAGGACTAAGTTGGAATGCCTCGCTTCCACCAAAAAAGGGTCTCCGGATCTCTATACTTACCATACGAAACACAGAAGTATTAAGCTTCTATTTTACGCTGGTATTCTGTGATAGCTCGGTCCCTTCTCGTTCGAGTCGACCCAATCGTGCTACAACCATAATATAGCTGCAACGTGGCTCTCAAAATGATTTTTATTCATTGTTTTTGGATATATTATTCCCTATCATACAATTTGCAAGAGATCGCCATCGCTAAATTTTCACCATTATGTGATTGATTTGCTGTCAGATCTATGAAAACCTATTGCATATATATATATATATATATATATATATATATATAAGTTAGTGTCTTACACACACTTTCGTGCTGTTTTAAGAAAATTCTAATTGAAAAGTTGACAAATATCCCAGCTCTGCTAAATTTGTGTCCATATACAGGGTTATTTTGCAATAACCAGCCACATTTGTAGAGAAAGTTCAGAATAAGTAATATAAACAAACGGTGAAAAAAAAACTCAAATATTCTGTCCTTTTATCTTTTAAATTCAAAGTGCGTGGCAGTGCATTATTTTAACCGCTTTTACTGCCCACGCAAACATTCGTTAGGGTCGATCGGTAGGCAAAAACGTTGTTGCCCATAAATCATATTCAATTTGAGATAGTTTCAAATAAAAGTAGAAGCCTTATTTACTCGTATTTACAAAACCTGCAATGACCGTTTAACATATTAATATATTTAAAATGAAGTCTAAAATTTGGCTACTTTTTGAAATATAACCCTGTATAATGATACGTCGATGGTCGGGGAAAAAGTTTTGTATAAATTCAAAACATTTTTTCAAACTTTAACTACATTTAACTATACATAAATGTGCCATTTTGTTCAATAACTTGTTACCATCTTATAAGTAGTGACATAATCCCGTTTTTGCAGAAATCTTAGTATTTTGATCAAAAAATGCGACAAATAGTTTTGACAGTCCTCTATTAATATTAACTTAACACTACCCAAAGAATTCTGAAGAGAAAAAGCCGAACCGTGAATGCATTAACACTTCCCAACCAAGCTCCTTAAATATTTGCTGAGTGGCCAAGTATGTGTGTGGTCTGGCGTTATTATGATGAAAGACCACTTCTTTTCTGTTGATCAATTCAAGCCGTTTTTTTTTTCTCAATTTTTTGCTTAAGTATCATTAATTATTGGCAATAGATCCGATTCAAACGTTTTGCTCGGCGGTAAAAGCTCATTATAAGTGATGCCCTTTCAATCCCACCATAACAAAGCATCACCTTATTGCGTGTTAATTCGGGTTCACTACAGTCTGTGGAGCTTGACTACTCCATAATATTTTTTACTGATTCTTATCGTAGGTGATCCACTTTTCATCACCAGTAATCAATATTTTCAAAAATGGTTTCATTACCTTTCAATAGAAAATCGCAAATGAGTACACGATTCATTAGCTTTCTTTCAGTGAACGCGTATGGTACCCTTTTTTTATAGCCAGAAATTTTAAACGGGTCAAAACTGTTTTTGAGTTCAATTTTCAATTCTTCAGCTATTCGTAACAACTAATATGCTGATCTTACTTCACTTTTTCAAAAATTTTATCGACTTTATCTGTATAAGGGCGACCAGAGCGAACTGCATTTTTGATATCAAAATTCCCGAATTGACATCGTTTAAACTAACTTTGTGCTATTCTTACTGACACTGCATTAGGTCCATAAACGTCCATAAATAATTTTTTTCCGCGACTTGAGTCACATTTTTCATTTTTTTTAATAAAACTTCCGAACGTCTCGATTTTATTTGTTAGATTCGCTTATTTTGCACACAATAGGAAAAGTAACTTTATCATAATACGATAGAGTACAATTAATTTTGCGCTGTGTTATTATAAAAATATACAATATATGAACTTTATATTAAATTATTAATATTTCTTTTGATGCAACTCGGTATTATTGTTTCGCTTACTCTTATTTTATGCTTGACGTCATTGATATGTTTTGTTCAGTTAATATTTTTATAAAACTATTTATGATGTTAATTCAAATGAAATTATTGGATTTCAGTGTTGTAATTGGTAGTTTTTCCGTGGCTTTATTCGCGTGTACTGTATTTATATATTCTGTTATTTTAAAAACTCTGTTTAATTACAATCAGTTATGTGATAAAACTTTACAAAAAGATAGAGAGCAATAAACCAAGAGAGACCTAGGGTAAATTTTATCCAACAAACTTGAAGAAAAATTCATAACTACTACATACACCACATTAATAGATCCTATCCAGGCGAAACCGGGACATTTAGCTTGTTATAAATATTCATATAAATTATATCTTTAAAACCAAACTCATTTTATCACTAGTAAAACAATTATTTATTTATTTATATTTCCTACTAACATCTACCATTACAGGGAAAACCTAAAAGATTACTAATTACAACACAATAATTAATTTAAATAACAACACATAATAATTAATTTATATGACAATACATTACAAACCATTGTATGATACAATTTAAGAATAACATATTGTAAATAATGTCACTTTTGCGAACTCACTCCGTGAACACGAATTTAAGTCCAACTTCTCGGCTACCAAATTTAGTATGTGTATCGTTCGCGTGAGGGGGGTATTGCGAACCAGGTTAGTCCTGCCGCGTGGCATCGCGAGCAAGCTCGGCCGCCGTCGCTGCTGTACATAGCTATCAGGCATGCATAAGCCTATCCACTGCAGCACACCCGGGTTGCTGATGTAACCACGGAACACCCTTAAATTGTAGGTTACCAGCGCTAGATCTCTTCTAGTTTCCAACTTGTTACCATACCTAAAACAAACAAACAAGGGTTGGATACAGCAAGGGGTAGGATGGATAAACCCCATAAAGCTATGATATATAAATCGAGTGAATTTATTCTGAATGCGCTCCAGCATAAGATTGTATTTATTTTCATGTGGAGCCCATATTGCCGAGTTACACTCCAGCTGACTCTTTACTAGATCATCATATAGCACTGAGATTGCTTTAATGTTGGTAAATTTTACTGCTCTGCTAATGATAAACCCTAGTTGTTTATAAGCTTTTTTTACATATATTCATGATGTGCTCCCGGAATTTTAATTTGACATCCATCTGGACTGCAAGATCCCGAATTGATTCCTCCCTCTTCATTAGCTCGCCATTCACCTTATAGTTGTAATGGAGTGGTGCCCTTGCACGACTAAATGATAGAATAGAGCATTTTGAAATATTAAACTGCAGTTTATTTTTGTGGCTCCATTCAACTACTTGGTCGATATCTTGCTGAAGGTGGCGACAATCATCCTCACTCTTGATGGCTAAAAGCAACTTTAGGTCGTCTGCACATAATAGACATTTAGCCTCTCTTACTACTTCGGTTAAATCATTAATCATTATGTTGAACTCTAAAGACCCCTAATTACTGCCTTGACTCAAGCTAGACCTAGTAAAATAAGGCTCCGATCGATACCCGCCATACTCCACATACTGTTTTCTATCTCTCATGTAACTTGCAAAAAAATGAAGCAGTTTAGGTGTGTAGCCAGCTTTCGCCATCTTTGACAGTAAGATATCGTTATCTACTTTCTAAAATCAAAGTAGGCGGCATCTACCTGCAACCCTGCATCAACATGAGGAACCAAATACGTCATGACATTTAAGAGGTTACTAGTTGTGCTCCTCTTTAGCCGGAAGCCGTGCCGGGCGTCCGATAGCTGCGGTGCAACTTGTTCCTGTACACTTCGCTGAATGGCTCCCTCAAACACCTTCGCAGGTGCTGAGAGAATCGCCACTGGTCTGAAGGATTCAACTGTAGGTTTGTTACCTCCCTTAGGTATCGGATTAACACGCGTGATTTTCAAACTTTCTGGAAAATATGAATTCTTCAGACACAAGTTGAAAATATGTAATAACGGTTCTGCCAGCACTGAGCGGCAGTCTCTGAGCTGAGCGTTTCGGCACTTATCTTTCTCTTCTTTTTATAGTTATATAGTATATATAGTTATCCGAATACTTATCTTCCCACAATCCTATCGGTTAGTCTTTCCATACCTGATACCCGTTAGGTATATACAGTGTACTTTTATATGGAGTGTAGATAGGTAAATATTGATACTAAAATCTTTTGCTGATATGATATTTTTCGAAAATCTTTGGAAATATGTCTTGAAGCTTAGTCAAATTAAGTCGGAAGGATATTATTTTAGTTTAAAGATGATAAATTTTGATGATCACAAACTCCAATTAAAAAAATATAGCGTGGATTACTATTTAATTCTCAGATTTAAATATAATTAAGAGTTCATAGAGGTCATTTTTCTAACTTTTACTTCAAATTTTTTATAACTACGGTACTGTTCTTTTTATGAATTTAAATGACGCAGCAACGCAAAGGCATGTCGTCTTATTTGTCCTTATAAACGGTGTAACTCCGCTCTTACTTCGGTTTCATAAGTATCAAAGTCAAAACTTCATATGAAAACAAATTTATGGAAATGAAAATGCTATTATTTGAAAATGTCCTTTATTTTCTAGCTGTTGTGTTAAATTCATGGATTGATTTTTAAAAGATTCAAAATGCAATCTTCGACATCGAGTTCACAACATCGAGATTTTTTTCCTAGTGTTCCAAATTTTAGAATACCTACTTCGGGTGCTGGGATATCTTTTGCGTTCTTTTTGTTACTATAATTTCGGACGGTTTAAATGCATATATTTGACGTTGTACGTGTTCCGTAATATTTGAGCAAAATTAATGTTCTCAATAATTTGACTATTATTATGGATGGTTGAATGTTTATGATCACTTCACGTCAAAATATTTGACCACCTGGACTACTCCTTTCTTTAAATTAAATAAATATGTTTTTGATGTCTTATTCTAGTGTCCAGATGTGCTCATTATGGTTATACGATAAAACAGTAGAGTCATGCTGCAGCTATATTATGTTGGAGAACCGGGAAAAGAACGGTCTCACGGAATACCAGCATGAAATAGCAGTATAATTTAGATATTACCGAAAATTTTTTTACGATTTCGTTCTATTTTTTTAATATAGTACTTTATGTTTATGTTGTGTTCTAGAAAAAATATTCAATAATATCCTGGTTTGCTGGAAAATCCAGACTATTGACAAGTTTGCTTGCACGAGATTTAGTATTGAATTAAAAAAAAATTAAAAGTACATCCAATAGTTTTAATTAGGTAATCAATATAATAAAACACTAATCACATGTGTGATAAGCAATTTACGGCATAAAAATTAGTTTTCTTTTTACTTACGTTTTACAAATTGTGCAAAGCCTTTCTGAATCTTTATACTCAAGTAAGTGAATAGCACGATCTCAGCGAGATATTTTGTGATGGCTTCTGGGCATGCGATTGTGTCCACAACTTTCCTGTCTTCTAAATATCTCCAACAATCCTTTTGTAGTAGCTCTACAATAAAATAGGTGATTTTATATCCCTCCGTCATTTTTAGACAATTTTCCGATATTTTTTTATATTTTAGCAATGGCAAATTAATGAAAAATACTTTTTATTTTTTATGAAGTCCTATAATATATATATCACATATAACTGTGTTGTCGCATCAATGAATGTGCATGCTGAACCGATCTCATAGGATAACACTACAAATAATTTACCAGAACATTTTTCCTAGTATATATACCGACGCGGCACATGACGAATCCACTGAACAAAAATATATCAACAAAACACTTAACTTTTCTGTTGTCACATTATCTACAGCATTTTCCTGATTTTCTTACAGATTTGTATTGTGAAACAATAATCCAATGATTCCATCATTCTTCATACTTTCATAGTAATAATTAGGTGGCTGTAAATTTTTTGGGCGCTGACGATTTTACGATATTTCTACTGTGAACGTTTATTTGGAGTACAACACTCATACAACATCATGTTTGGTTTTATTTACGGCTTGAGTAACAGTAGGATAGTGTGAAAATCTTTCCAGTGGATCAGACGTTGATATAGAAGATGCCTGTTGCTCTTCATCTACAGGCAAAATTCCATGAGCCTTCTTTTAGCAAATGCAGACAAAGGCAAACCATTTTCAGATTTTTTACTCTCCGACGAGTCTTCAAACACTATCTTTTAGTTTCTATCACATTCATTTCATATTTTCATATGAAAATCGATGAAATATATTAACTGTATGTAAATAGTGCAAGAACGAACTGATTCGTTGGTCTAATGGTTGTAGTAGTGCGACTGGTGATTATGAGGTCCTGGGTTAGAATCCCGGGTCAGGCCAACAAATTCAATTATTGAGTTTTTCTGTCAAGAAATTCTCAGTAGCTGCACGGATTCAGGAAGTTTACGGTGTCTCACCCCGTGCCTCGGAAAGCACGTAACGCCGCTGGTTCTGCGCCTGATCTCTCTCCGGTAGCATCGGTTAACCGTCCCATCGGACTATGAGAGTGAGGGAATAAAGAGTGCACCTGTGCTTGCGCATACACTTGGGTACTATAATCCCGGCTTGCGCCGATGGTTAGCCTCCGTTGAGGCAGTGACCGAAATTCGACCTGGAGGACATTATTATTAGTGCAACGATTAATTATTAATTTATTTACTAAGTTCACTAATTAATATCAATACGAGTAGTCCAAATCAATATAACAAGATCCTGAGACCCTATTAACTGGAAACGAGGCATTCTGTCTTAGTCCTAAGGAGTGATAGCGCATCTGCAATTTGATTCATGATAGATGTAGAAGTCTATGAACCACAGCATTCACTTACCGTTAGCGGACTGTATGCTCGTGCGTCACTATTAAAATATAACTTAATTCAATAAAAAAACTAATTCTATAAAAAAAGCACCTTGCCACTAAGGGTAGTAGCGTAGTGATGCTATCGTAGCGGAGTCGTAAGACGATACGCATCATAGAATACAATAATACATATACAATAGAACGGGGAATCGACGGTGCTCGTTTAGCCGCTAATATGTCAATTCACATCTATAAAATGTCAACACATTTTTTTAAGTCACATTCGTTGCCCAATTTTTATGTCATGGGTTGCTGGGTGCAATTTGTTTCAAAAACACCGATTTGTGCGATAATTGCGTGTCGGAAAAACAGCCAGATGTGAAATTTGAATAATAGTGGAAAATCCTTTCACCAGTTAGCCGAAACTATTTATATTTTGTGTATATTAGAATCAAAAGTATTGAAATATTTATGGGTAAAACACTAAACAAGATTTCATCCCTAGCTGTGATACCATTATATACTACAGTTTGTTTAAAACCACAGACTAATGATGTTACGCATCTTAAACGTGTTCGAACACTTTTTATTTACAATAAGAAAAAAATAATGCTTACTGTCAATTTATTTGCAATTGGTTTGCACTCCATTGACAAATAAACATGTAATAAAATTTAAACGATTTCCTTTTTTTTGATGATGATTGTGGACATTAGTGAAACGTATAAAATATGCAAATTTCAGTATAAAATGTGCAAAATTCGGGTCAAAAACTCGGTATGTCGACACAGTTATTGCTTCTCTTTATTTTCAGAAAGAGATGATCTGTAAAAATTAGTTTTGAATACCTCGTTATTGTCTTGGAATAAAGTCTAATTTTATGTAAGATTAAAATGCGTTTGTAACATTTATTTATTGAAATTTATATTAGCAAGTAGCGAATTGGGTTTCTAGTAGTGATAATATGACTTGTATGTGTTAAATAAGACTGACAGCCATTCTATTATATATAGTATTCTATGATACACATACGTACTACCTATTTATAGCTTTCATGTTAAAAATAAACAAAAGTAGCAAATCCAAAACTTCAGCATCGATTTGGGAATTTACGCTTAGAAAAGCTAGCCCATCTCATCCATCTCATGAATTGCTTCTTGTAGTTTTTTTTTACGTTTTTTAACAAAAAAGACTTAAGTTCTATTTTTAACGTATCTTTTTGAATAATAAAGTCATTTTAATGTTTGCCTGAGCTTTACAACTTGTAAAGAGATTTGCTATTGAAAAAAAATTTTGAGCGTCCCTGTCTTAGAATAATAGTAATAGTAAATTATTTCACCGTTACACATACATTGATGTATGTGTAACGGTGAAATAGATTTATGTTATTTTATTATTATTAAATTATTATTTTATTTTCGATATTATTACAAATACTTACGCATTTGACATAATTAATATTAGTAATGATTTATAATTTTAGTATTAGAATAAATGTTAATGTATGTTATTTTACCCTATGATCCTTGTTGATTGAAATAAATTAATAAATAAATAAATAAATATCTTTAGTTTTCAAATGCAATATTCGATATTTATCCAATATTGCATCTCACCTTATTACTTTAAGAAAATACCTTTTAATAAATCTTATTGCTATTGTGGTTTGTAAGCGGCTTCGTTCCGTGGGTATTGTAAGAGGCGACTGTGGGAAAAAACCATAGAAATGTTATGGCTTCCGATAGATGGCAGTATAATCAACCCGCTTGATGAAAAACGCCAGGACCGGCGACAAGTAGTAGCGTATCTCGCAGCAAGATGCGAGACGTATGATACTTCGATCGTCAATCCTCCAATCTTATACGTAGTAGAGCCATTCTGCAGCTATATTATGATCGTAGCACGAATGAGTTGGCTAGACCGGGGGAGAACCACGTTCTCACAGAATACCAGCGTAAAATAGGAGATTAATGCTGCTGTGTTTCGTAAAGTAACTACAGATAAAAAAGACCCTTTTTACTGGATTCGAGGCATTCCATCTTAGTCCTCAAGGTTAAAAACGCATCTGCATTTTGAATCTTAATCGTGGGGAAAATGTAGATATCTATGAGCCACAGTAGCCACTTACTATCAGGTAGGCTGTATGCTCGTTTATCACCCAATTTTTTTAAATCTGCCTACCTAGAGTGAAACTCTAGTTAAAGGCAAGTATTCGGTCGGCGGTGTAAAAAAATATAGAAAAGAATAATCCAGGAGCAATCGGCGCATGAATACCGAAAACTATTCCACCTCAAGTTTTTATGCGATTCTCTTCAAATTGTCCTCCTTCTTGTTAGGGTGCCACTTCACTTCGAAGGTTGGCGACCATCATCGCTATCTTTCTCTTTGAAACTGCAGCACGGAAGAGAGATCGAGTGCTGAGGTTTCAAAGTTAATATCGATGTTGTTATTATTGCAATTTATCGCCTTTTTTTTTCAGAAAAATCCCCTTTTTCGTAAACTCATTGGACAAAATTGTTCGAAATTTATTGTTGTTAGTTGAAAAAATTGTCCGATCGCTGCTTCACCCCCTTAAAACTTACGTGACAACGATACCATTTCGCCCTAATACATCTTTGTTTTAATAAGACTTTCTAGCATAAACAAAATCCTAGGGGTTTATCGTAAAAATCACAGAACCATTTTTAATTTGTATTTTAACAAGGAAAATAGAAAAAATTGTCCCGTTTGAAAATAGCAATTCCTTGCATTTGAAAAAAATGGCGCCGAGCTGCCCCATGTCAACATGCATTTATATTATAGCAGGACAATTTGAAGAGAATCACCTTGAAAATTGAGGTGAAATAGTTTTCATTACTCATGCGCCGATTCCTCCTCGACTATAAATATTAGACAGCATTTTGGTAAAAAGAAATGTTAAAAATTATATTACGAAAGTGCTTATTAATTTATCGTTTTCAAAACGTAATCAAGGGCTGGAACATAATCATTTTACATTAATAAACCCAAATTGTACGAAAATCTAATGAAAACAATTCTGCCGTAACTATTTTGAAATTAAAGCAAAAAATCGTTTATCAGACACTTGAATTCGCTAAACAAGATCTCAAGAGCACCTGATATCTATTCGATTTGTAAACGCTTTTGTGTCTAGATTGTTGAACCAATTCCAATTAATACGGAATATCATAATTTAATAAAATAATGTAAAAATATTATGTGTAGAGATACCTACGTGTAACTATTTGTAATTGCTACCAACATAAGTGCAATCACTCATTTTACCATAATTTAAAATAATAATTATATCTTCGGCTACCTACGTGGAGACGGCATTAGTGAACACATATATACATTTACATTAAATTGAAGTGTCTATGTGTAAAATCGATATAAATGCCTTTCAATGAGCTGAAGGGTAAGACATGACTCTTAAGACGTGAACAATCATCGTTCTTAATATAAATGTAATCTGTAAAATTAAGTTTATAAAGTTGTTTCAAGACCAGCCGGTGAAGAAGCACCTGTGTCTTTTGTTGACTTTGAAAAAGTACAGGATGTAATAAACTGAAGCCGAAACAGGAAGCTTCCTTCACAAAAGCGCCTTTGTTCTTAAAGAATACACTTATTTACTACACTAGGTGAAGAAAAAATACATCGCGTATTTTAAGACAGAATTATCTATACATATAAATGTATTTAAATACTTTTATATGTATAGATAATTTCTTTA